TAAATTTTATTAACATATTTTTACGAGATTAAAATTTCCAGGAAATTAATACCTATATATACAATCAAAATTGTTTCAAAGACTTAAAAAACTTTTCTTCTTTTGCCCCCCTGTTTCTAAATTCTTTGCACAGTTTTCACAAATATTAATAAAAATTAAAGGAAGCAGATGCTTGAGTATTTTTAAAATTGAGTGTATATATAATATTTTATAATATTCACCAAAGCCGCCAAACACAATAATGTATTTCCTTAATTTTATCCTACTGTGCGAGTAAGTACACATGGTTAATATATTTATAACATATACCGTATTTAAGCGTGCTTATTTAAATTTTATTTGCTTTTCTCCTTTTTTTGATTTCACAGATTATCATTACATTGTGTTTCCATTCGGAGAATTCATATTTACACTTGTAGTTATTCGTAATTTCCAAAAATTTTCGTCCTTAAACTGGATTTTGCAAATTTTTCACATGTCAAAAAAAATTTGGAGAAAAATTTATGAAAAGCACAAACTTTTACGCACTTTCACTTTTATATTATTGATTACCATGCTACTGCCATGCTACTATCATAAATCTTAACACATAAACGAATAAATCATTCCATTCCTCAAAAGGGAATGCACAATATTTATGAAGTTGTGGTGTTTTCGCCTAGCTACTAAACTTCAATTATCAGTTTACAAATGAAAAAAACACAATTGAATTTACTTGAATATCTTATAGTTGTGACAAATACACTTCTTATTTTTGAATTTCCCATACACAAGGAATAAACTTTAAAATTTACAGTTTTCTTCGAATATGTAATCACATATTATAAGAAAAAAGTTCCTTTTTTCAAACCGAAATTCTCAATAGAGCTTCTTTGATGTTTTCATTTCTGTTTTTCCTGTTTTTTTTTGGAAAAAAATTTTTTTTTTGGTTTTCGGCTTAGAAATTGTTTTTTTGGGGTTACAAGGTACTTTGGTTTGAATATTATTTGAAAAGTATTTTAAAAAGTATAAAGGGATAAGAATTTTGTACACTATAATTTTTGAACACGCGTATTTTTCATGGATTTTGGAAAATTCTTTTGGAATTATTATGTTCTTTGAGAGAAATGTTAAAGTTTTATGAAAAAAGAAAAAAAAAAGTTTAAATTAATAAATATTTTTTTTTTTGGTGCTTTGAAAATAAAAAGTTATGAAGAAGGTGAATTCATCTCTTATAAACTTTAATTTGATGTTTATTGAAATATTTGAGATATTTGTAAATTATTCATGTATACAAAATATTTATAAAGTTAAAAAAAGTTTCTATTTTTAGATCTGAAGATCTATATTCCAAGTTTTATGTTTATTGTGATGGCAAAATTTTAATTAATTTACATACTAAGGAATAGAATATGAACTTGATACATAATTGATTTATTTCTAATTTCTATAATTTCAATTATAAATTATAGAAGTAGCGGTGAAACTCGGGTCAAGTTATGAAGGTGGTCTCGTTATAGAGGGGTGAAATTCATGGAGATTTTACTGGATTGCACAAATTTTAAATTTTATATTAATGCACCATTTTGTATTTGAATGGAATGGTTTTTAGCAATAATATTACTTGATAACAAAAAAAGATTGAGTTTGAAAACTTAATAACATGGTTTAATGCACGAGGACGAGAATACAAGTTCAACCTTAAATTAATGAGGCATGTTATTTTGTATTGTATGCGAGATTTTATTGATGCGTGTCTCTCTTATATACACAATAAAATCTTAAAAAATAAAAATATTTTTTTAATATTTTCTTTCCTCTTTGTCTTCCATAAAAAGTTTTAAGTTGAACACTTCATTTTATCAAGGACATACACTTAATTACATTTTTAGGTAGAGTATTCATTCGGTGCTGTCATTTTGTTTTAATTTAATGGAATATTCAAATATCCGGTAATTTTTTATTTTTTATTTTTGTTTTCTGAAAATTTTCTTTGATCTCTTTATTTTTTAACATGAAATGCTTTAAAACTTTAAAGTTGTGTGCTTTACACAGTCCTCGAAATATTTTTTTTTTCATAAAATATACTTGAATATAAAAAAAAATTTAAGTTAGCTTTAAAATTCGAAACAATATTTTTTAACATTCAGCTACCATAACAACTAACCATATTTTTATCAAGAGAATGTGATAGTAAAAGAGTACATAACAAGAAAATAAAAAGAGAGAACAAAGCAGATAGTTGTAATTCACTCTACAACATTCCAGGACGAAATTGAGAAGCATATAATAAAGTAATTGTTTAAAAAAAAATTCCTTTTTGAAGTCATTCGATATTATTGTACATCCTGGGTAATTAAACCTGTCTAAAACATTAATGGTAAATGACGTTAACTTAAATGGTAAATTGTATAAAATGATGACAAAAAAAAAAAAACTGGTTTTTTTAAATTAATTTTTTATAAAAAACTTGCTATGTATTTTGTTGTTTGCGCTAAATTTTAAAATGAAAAAAAATTTATTAAAAATTTTCAAAAAATAAATAAGTTAAGGTATTTGACAAAAAAGTGAAAAACAAAAATTAAAAGGAAAGTGTTTTTACTAATATTATAAAAGTAAAAAGTTTTTTTTTATGGACTTCAAAAGTGTAATCGTGTACAAGTATAACACTTTTATGGAAAATAAGAAGTTTTCAAATTCAAAAGAATTTCAAGGTTTAGTAAAATATTTTAAAAATATTATGAATTTGAGATAAAATTAATTTTGAGTTAGATACAATTTTATTATACTCAAATGGTAGATATGTGAGACTTAATTTTGTGTCAATAATATTTAAAAATTTTAATAATTCTGTATGTTTTTGTAATTGAATACTACAAGTAACATAAATTTCAAGGGAACCAAATGGGACAGGAAGACATATTCCCGCGCCACTGCAGCTTTTCGCGATTTATTGTAGTTTCTCCACGCTCTCGTCTATAATACGCCTTGTAAGGGCAGTGTCCAGTAAAGAAATTCGAATCCAATAGCACGAACCCGGTTTGTAGATATTTCCAACTACTCCACGGCTAACTTTGCAGTGCGCGAATGAAGAAACACCTTTGCATGATGACACCACTTCGTGTTGTGTCAGCAAAGCTCGTAATGCTAGGCTTTCCGTTAAAAATGAAATGTTACAATATAGATTTGCCCACCAATTTAAAACATCATTCAAAATACCAGATCATATCAAAATGAAATTAAAATTCCAAATAAGGTTTGCTGAAATTCCTTATCAATTTATATTATAGTTGTGCTTCAATTATATTTTTAATGCATTTTTACGCCACATTATTTCGAAAATTTAAAATGAAATATAAGCTAAAAGCTTTTGGAACTAATGTAGATCTTTTAACTTATTCTAATATTAAAATTATAAGAAGATCAAAATCTCAACAACTTTTAGTTTAACAAAAAAACAAAAAAGAACTCTGTTAATAAATGATGTACCAACAAATCGTTACCGTTATGCAAAACCTAAGGGACAAAAAATGAAAACACTTTTGACACCAAAAATAATTATCTATTGTTGGCTACAAAATATTCACCTAAGACCAAAAAAAGAAAATGAAAAATAACAGATAAAAAAAACATAGGATTTTAACAAAAACAACCCTTTCTTCTCAAATTATATTTAACATATTGTCCTTTATCTAAACAGCATATTATGTAAAAAAAAAATCTGCTTATACGTTAGTATATTGGCCATAAAACAAATAGAAGAAGAAAACTAGGGCACATTTCGTACGATTTAATATTTCTTTCTCTCTTCCTCTTTCTATCTCTCTCTATTTGATGACAAATATTACATGTGCAAAATATAAGTATGTCTTTGACAAAAATTTAACACATCCTGATAGTCTAGTCCCTTTTTTACTTTTACAAATTCTTTTTTTCGAAAATTTTTAGCAAAAATTTAAAAATTGTCCTAATATGTGTAAAAAGCAATGAATTTTAGGTGTTCTTTTCAGTTTTTCGTTTCATTATTTCTGTTTTTTTTTTTTTTTGTTTTCTATTATCCTTAAAATTATTGTCAGAAATATGGTGCCGTTGCTCACCATTTTTATTTATTTTGTTCTTATCTTATAATTTTTTTGTTTTTTTTTTTATTCTTTTGTATTTTGTTGTTTTTTTCCCTTATTATATTTTTATATTTTTTTTTTTAGTTCCGGTTCAACAAAATTTTAACAACTTTAAGGTTAATTTAACATGAATATAAGAAGAAAAAAAAACACAAATAGAAAGCAACAGAGGGAAGGGTGGGAATAAAAGGTGTGTGATTTCAGGTGACAGAAATTTTTGAATAATTTGTTGTTTCTATTGAGAATTTGGTTTTTCAAAACAGTCTTTTAGAATTTTTTAAAAGAGTCGATCAAAATTATTGAACAAATTTAAGAATTAAAGAATTTAGGGAATATTGTTTAAATTTTTTGATATTTTAAACCGATTAATTGTTATTTTTCAATTTACAATGTCTGAAGATGGATTTTGCTCTGAAATTAAAAAATATTTGAATTTTATTCAAGAATTGCTCACATAAACAATCTTAATGAGATGTTAAATTGACTGAGAAGGAGCTCTGAATAATAAATATTTTCAGGTCAAATTTATAATTTCGATCGCGATCAGTTTAACATAACACGGTATGACAATATAAGAAAGAATATTGTGAGAAAATATTTCCAGAGTGTTGTTTTTGAAAAAGTTAGCACTTACGAATATACAACATATTTCTCAAAAAAGCGTTTGAATATAAGAAGACTTTGTATTTTCTGTTTTTCAATTAAACGACATCCTTTGTCATTTAGTTTGTAAGAATTATAAAAATTTTATAGAGAATTCTTTTATTTTTATAATCCTAAATTCTTTTGTTATATTTGCTTGTATTTCAGATCCAGGATATTGTTTACCTCTTTTCTTTTTTACAATATTATGTACAAATATAACATACGTAATGTATTTAGTATCTTATATTTACATACCTTATTATCTTTTTGCCATGAACATGTTCCAGCTTTATCGATTATTTTACATGTAAGTAATGCGTCCTCACCAGGATTTACTTCTGTATATTTAGGTTGTTCAGCAAATCTTTGAAGACATGCTCCATCTGTAACAAGTAAACAAAAAATAAAGGCAAAATTATAAAATTTTTCAATTTATTTTCTTTATTTTTTGTATATATATGTATATTTTTTTTTGGGATTTTCATTTTAGATATTTATTGCTTTACTTGTATGGAATGATTTATAATTTATTTAATTTAATGTAATAATTCTTTAACTTAATACGACTAACGTACGTTTTTAAATGAGAATGTTAAATATAGAATTTATTCTTAAGGAGAATAATAGTAGATCTTTTGGAAATATTATGAATGCTTATTCTAAATTATTGGTATACAAAATATTTTTGAGTTTTTTTCTTCATATAATTTTATAATGTGTGACTGGTATGAAATATTATTTTATTTTTATTTCTTTTTGGGGACCATATGTGATCACGCAATGGCAACTTAAATTTTTTTTAACGAAAATTTAAAAGCCTAGTTCTCTACATTAAAAATTGTACACTAAATTGCTGTTGTTTATAGTCTTGTTTAATTATGTATGAGAATTTTAATAATATCACTTTAATTGTAAATCTTGTCTAATTTTACTATACACTAACAGGCTCTTTTTTAATTATTATACATAAAATACGTTTATGGAAGTTGAAATACAAAGTTTACATTAAGTATACCTAGTATAATTTTAATTACGTAAAGTTTAATATTTTTATTAACAACATTTATAATCTAAATAAAATAATTACAGTATTTTAGTTAAAAATCCGCAGCGCCAAGGGAAATTTCAAGTACTACATCCAGTGTTTGAAAAAAAAGTGTTATACTGAACTACAGCAGTTGTCACAATATGTAGTGAGGTCCTTGAACATAATTTATATCGGTTATGGGTGTAGCGGTTTGTGCTATGATGCTATTTTATTTTTCAAAATAATTTTAACTACAATATTTTTCGTACTATAAGGAAAACTCACATTCTACATTAGATTTTCAACATTATTACAGGAGATTTAATGAAAAAGAAGGTAAACATTTTTCCATTCAATTTGATAAATTATTTTCAAATTTAATAATTTAGAAAGCTAAAAAAAAGAAAAAAAAAATGGCTTATGCTGAATGAATATTGAATTTTATTAAATATCTTATAAATTCCTTTGGAAAATTTCATTTAATATAATAAAATTTTCCGCGCATATTGATACCAATTAAAAAAAAAAAAAAATTTTTATCTTTTAAACAAATTATTATTATTTTCCTGTCTATAAATTAAATTCAACTTATATTTATCTTTAAAATTTTTACACACGAAAACATTAAAATATTTAGATTTACAACTTAATACACCTAAACATATCAAATACTTATATAATATAGGATGACTGACTATAAAAGAATTACAGGCAGCAAACAAAATTCTCGAGCATTTTAAATATTATTTGAAATAATTTTGAAAAAATTTATGAGTAGAACTTGAGAGTAGAGATGAGTAAAAGTTGCCATACAAAAAAAAATTTTTTTGATTTTTTATATTTTGTTATAATAACAAGTTTAAGGGAGGAAACTATGCTAAAATTCTTGTAATAACATTAAACTCGTAAAATTTTCCATATTCGCTGCCCATATTTTTATGTTTAAGGGTTAACAAATTTTCTTGCTTTGTGTTCCAGATTTTCTCTTATAGAAAGCCCAATGTTTATACATTTATGACGGTACCAATTCATTTTAATTTTATTAAACATTACTCGTACTGTATGTACAAAGTATGAAATCATATTTATAAATTTGGCTAAAAAATTATCCTCCGATTTCACTATTTAAGAATTAATCAGAAATTAAACGAAAATTAACCTAGTTTTTTTTTTTCGAAAAAGCATGAATTTTTTTGTTCATTCGATTAAATTAAAAACAAATTATAAATTTAACCTTGGTTCAGACTTTGTAAAATATTATGCTCTCTATGTGGTAATGTTTATATAAAAATCATCATTTTGATGATGTAAAATAAGAATCATTAATTTTTCCTTCAAAATTTAACCGCCCTTAAATCTTTCGAAATGTCAAAAATGTGGGTTTTTCTCTTTTTATTTTCCTATATTTTCTTCTTCTTTTTATTTTCTTATTTCTTTGCTATAAGAGTACTTTACAGAAATATTAAAGAAAAATTTTGAAATAGGATATTTATTATACACACACGCACAAACATTTTGTCATAATTTTTTTTTATTAATACATCCGGTTTCCATTTTATAGAATATTGTATAAACATGCTACATGTACTATTAGTAATACATTTAAATTTTCTATAAGTACCTACCGCATAATACGAGTATAACTAATACATATTTGTACAAGTATAATGTGTTTGTACATAAGAATGTGTACAAAGAAGACTTGTTTTTAAAGCAAGTACATAAACATAAAAATTATAAATTGTGTCATAATTATATTGTCATATATAACGGTTTATATAATTTGTGTGATTATAAGCCAATGCAAGAGGATCACTTTTTATGAGATAAAATTTACAAAAAAAAAAAACAAAAAGGGAAGTAAATAAAAATTTATAATACCGTTAACATTAATACCATATATCTGTCTTTTTCTATTTGTTTTTCTCCTTATCTTTATGATTTTATTTTTATTAGATTTTCACCCTTATTACATAATATATATTATACCAACTTACTCTCTCTATAATATTCTCACAATATTATTATTTTCTGATATTTTATTTAAAGGATATTATTTTATTTAGATAAGGCAAATGAAATAATATGGAAAAAAAAGTGTAAAAATTATAAAATAACGAGGCAAAATTTTAACCACATATTTTTTAGGTAGATAACCTTTTATATCATTATACACATTCACACATAAAGTATATAAGTTTATACATATGTAATATACACATAATTTGTGTATGTATATGTTCATAAAAATTTTCTGCACGTCATAATATTGCATAAATATACTCCAACGAATTTTCACCTTAATATCGGCAACCAGAAAAATACCGCAAAATGTGTAATAAAGAAAAAAAAATTGTATGTATATATGTATGTATAAAAGAAGGCACTGTAAATTAAGTTAGGGCACAAAATTATTTATAAATTCCATCAAATAACAGTTTATCATATTACAAACAGTGTGGCTGTTTAGCAGAATATTTTTACTTTAAAAATGAATAAAACGAAATTTCTGAAGTTAAAAAAGCTGGTAACAACCTAAACAAATTAAAAAATGTATTTGATTGTATTACAAATTAACAATATAACGTGAAGTCGTTTATCTTTATTATTAATTTCTTATTAGAATAAATGATAGAAATTGCTTTATACAACTGCAGAACTGAATTCGAACCGGTAACCTAGCGCTTTTTAGACGGACGATTTTGATTTTTAGACGAACTGAGCTACAGAGGTATGAAGAAATATTGCCTGCAACCTAGAAAGTGGTAGGTCACTGATTTGAGTCCAGTTCGAGGAGAAAAATTTCTTAATATAAATAATTTTAATTCTACATTGACTTGTTCTTTTGATGATGTCATCCACCCATTCTGCAGTTGTATAAAGAAATTTCTGTTAGTAGTAATTTTACTTCATTAAATTTATTTTCAAAATAAAACAAAATGGTAACACTTATTTTTTTTACATTTAGTTACTTAATTTTTTTATTGCTTTTTTACTTTTCCATATAATAAAAAGGCACTTTACCTGAGGGAAAATTCGGGATTTTATGTTTTTATTATTTATTATTGTAAAGCGATTATAAGAATTATTACAAAATGTAGCCACCAAATTCCGTAACTCGGAGAAAATGTTTTTTTTTTTTTGTTTTTATTATTTTTATTTTCAAATAAATCACAACAGGAATTTACTGGCTTCATTACAAGAATGTATATATACACTTATATCAGTATACATAAATAAGTACACGTTTTAGATAGAAGTTTATGTACATACATACATACGCACTAAAGAATGAAATATAGAATTAACCCAGAAAAGAAAACCGGCAGCAGAGGTTTATTTTTCCTCAATAAGGAAGTAAGAATTAAAATATTTCAAATAGGAAAAAAAAAATAATATTTTGTATCTGTGTGTATGAAAATTTAGATACTTACAAAAATTCAAAGAAAACGGCATTTTTTCGTGAAACCATATAAAAGATTATATCAACATGGTATGCCTTAAGATTTTTCGTTATATTATTAATTGGAACTTTCAAATTTCAAGTAAGAAAATAACAATGCAATAAATTTTAAAAGAGTTTGTCTGACTAGCATTTAGTACGTTTTCCCTTTAAGAATCTTTACAAAATTTTTGTATATGTTAATGTTAATACTGACTTCATTAAATTATTATATTGCTTAATAAACAAAACAGAATATTTGCTCATTACGAAAACTCAGTTTACATGCTAATTAAATTTTAAGAAGGAATAATATGAAAATAAATTTTTATTATAAATTCTTGAAATTTCTGAAATATCCACCAAGATAATTATCTTACAGTATAAGATCAGAATATAAAAATAAGTAAAACAAATGAGGGAAAAATTTAGGTACATTTGTAATTTGAAAAATGCATTGTACAAACAAGAACCACAAGCGTTCATTTTAAAGCAATATCAATATAAGAATTATAGAGACAGTATAGAGATTAAATTAAACTCGATACTCACTAGTGAATAAATATAATTTTTTTGGCAAAGAATGTCAGTAAATTATTTTGCTCATCGGTTATAAAATAGGACTCAGTGTGTTAGGGCTTCGAACAAGAGTATGAAATACAGAAATCCATCAATAAATGTTAAAAGCAAAGAAAAACTTTAAAACGCAGTTTAAAAATTTTACAACAAAAAATTTTGAAAAAAGAGGAAAATTTCTCGAATTGCCAGTTCACTACTCCTTACAAATTTAGTAGATGAATTATTAATAATACGGTATTTCAAGAAAATTTCACACAAATAGACATAGTCAAAAGGCAAAAAAAAATATTAATCAAACTATTATAAATCTTAATTATTAAAGGGTTCATACCTTTACAAGATTTC